GGCGCAGCGCAGGGTTTTCAAAGGCCCCTGGCGACAGCCGCCTCCATCTAAGATCATACCACCTTGAATAGGCCAGATGTCTTCTCATCTGGGAAACTATGCAGGGTTAGTTAGTACTTGGATGGGAGACCCCCTGGTAGTTAGGAGCTCCAGGCTTTTGCACAAAGTAGACGGCAAGCCAATGTATAGCTGATGAAAAGTTTATGGTGAAAAATTCAAATAGACCTGAATTCAAAGATGGTTTATGGCATAAAAGCAAGTGTTTTCCATGAGGTTTCCCCCCACCCCCCATTAACTTGCATAAGGTTTCCCTTAGCATTATGCTTATCTTTTATTCCTTCTTTCCTTGTCTGTATCCATCTTTTTGCACCATGATGTGGTGCCCCATTGGCATAATTTTCCACCTTTTGTCTTCCCATAATGCTGCTGTAGGAGACAGATGGACTCCAGGTTAGGCATTGACATCTAGCCTGTTTACATTTCCTGAGGCAAGAGATGGTTGGGCTCCAGTTGAGCCTTTACAATCAGTGTCCTGCTTGCCCTCTGAAATGGATGTAACAACAGAAAGAGGGTAAATAGCCAGTGTCTGTCTCTTATGAACACTTTCATAGCCATGGGAAGGGCAAAGAGGGACAAACTCCTGCTTGAGTCAAGGATGAAGAGATCTCCCCTCCCCCCACCCCCCTTTTGGTTCAAGGGAAACACTACACATGTGCAGAGAGGCTCCTTGTGGGTGAAAAGTCCCGCGAAAATGCCAGACCATAATGAGCCTTGCTTCTCCCAGAAGCCTCCACTTGGAGATCCATCTTGGCTGAGGGGTATGTGCACACCAGGGGAGAGTCCCAGGATAGGTCAGATGGGAAGAGAGAAACCAGAAACTTGGCAGGAAGGAAGACAAAGACCCAGAAGAACTGGCCTGTCTAAATGACTTAACTGCCTTGTGGTTATTGTGCTCCTTCTCACTAGGGGGCGCCCATAACTTTTCTCTCCAGGTGTGTCTCTCTGCTTTGCTTCTGTCTTAACGAGACCAGCTGTTTCTCCGTGTGCTTTCCCACATGTTGCTGTGCTGTGTCACTAATAATAAACGTTGTACCTGCATTTACCGATTCTGCCTCCATGATAAATGCATTTTTCACTGGTCAAAGATACAGGGAAACTTGGCTTCTAGCCTCTAGCCCTTGCTGGTCTGGCGGCTAGGATTCCTGGTTTTGGTTCAGGCTACCCAGGGTCAGTTCCTGGGCAGCGAAGTAGATCTCACTTCAGGCCACCACTCACTGCTGCCTCACTGAGATCAACTCAATGTTTATCACCATTTAATCTACATCATCTACATTGTCGCAACTATTTTGTAACTTTTCGGAAAAGGACTTCTTAGGGATTAACATACTGATATTTCCATAAGGTTCGGCCTGAAATAAGAACTTTCAAAAATCTTTGAACACAGACGCTCTTATTTTCCCTCTGGGATAAATATTTTGCATTTTCTTTTAGGACATATATACACAATAGGCACAGAACTCTCTTCTTATGTATTTTATTTGCATATAAATTAACATCCAGGAAACTTTAACATAGAAACACTAAATACAGTGTTGCACAGAGCAAACTCTGTTAAATGCCCCATTATCTCACTGAAGTTCCTATACACATGCAGGGACTGAAGGAGACAGGAAGCTGGCAGAAGAGCAACCTGAGAGCCACTACTGTGTCTGTGCACATCAACTACAGACTGCAAGGTAAGGGCAGTATTTTACATAAATAGAAACATCGTTACAATTCAGGTTTCCTTTTGAAGTTGCCTCCATCATTGGTTTGCAATCGCAACAGATTCTCCCCTCTTTTCATGGCCATACCGCAACACATATCATTTTTAAAAATGTATTAATGTTAGACAAAGCCATCACAATGCTTCAGGAGTGACTTCAAGAAAACTCCAATCAAGTCACAGTACTCAGGCAGGTGGGTTTAATAAACAAGTCCTAGGTAGATATCAATCCATCTAAAAGTGGGCAGTAATATCTGAACACATCTAGGATTTCCTTTTAAACACATGCTCCAAGGAAAGCAATACTGAATTTACCAGAGGAACAGTAAAAAGAGGACATCACTGGAAGGGATTTTGCACAGCCAGTCTGGCCCTGCGGTCTGACGCTGGGGTAGCATCTGCTCACTTGTCCCCTGTGTCCCTCAGGGGGGTCACGGGCTCAAGAGTGCAGAGCGAGTATCATCACTAGGACTGCCCAGAACTGCTGCGAACATCCAAAACGTTTCACTTGAAGAGTTCTTTAGAGGGCTTCCCTGGCGATCCAGTGGCTGCTCCCAATGCAGGGGCCTGGGTTCAATCTCTGGTCAGTGAACTAGATCCCATCCCCTGCAAGGAAGAGTTTGCACGCCACAATGAAAGATCCCATGTGTGGCAACCAAGACCTAGTGCAGCTTACAGAAAAGAAAAAAGGCACTAAGCGTTCTTTAGAAAGTGCTATACAATGCTATGAATGATTGCTTCTACTCAGCAAATGGTAAGAAAATATGTGTATTAGTTGCTCAGCTGTGTCCGACTCTTTGTGACTCCATGGACTGTGGCCTCCCAAGTTCCTCTGTCCGTTGAATTCCCTAGGCAAGAATAGTGGAAGAGGTTGCCATTCCCTTCTCCAGGCGATCTTCTCAACCCAGGCATGGAACCCAGGTCTCCTGCATTGCAGACAGATTCTCGACCACCTGAGCCACCAGGGAAGCCCAGGAAATACAAAGACCGGAATCCTATTAATCAAGACAGGTGCCATTAGAGAGAAAATAACCTACTAGATTAATTTAGTTTTATTATTGCGATTCTCCTTGGGAATCAAAAATAGGGTACTTCTGGAGAAACTGACAAAGCTGTGATTTATCTTAATAAAAGACTTCTTATGGAGATCTTGAAACCTGTTTCCTGAAAGAAATGAGTTCTAAATATATTTCTTAAGCCTGGTGGCAAAGGTTCTAATGACAGAATTCATCTCCCATGCAGCTCAATGAATCCCTGTTTTTATTTTTTTTCATTTATTTTTATTAGTTGGAGGTTAATTACTTTACAGGTTTTTTTTTGTCACGAATTAGCCATGGATTTACATGTATTCCCCATCCCGATCCCCCCTCCCACCTCCGTCTCGACCCGATCCCTTTGGCTCTTCCCAGTGCACCAGGTCCGAGCACTTGTCTCATGCATCCAACCTGGGCTGGTGATCTGATTCACCCTAGATAATATACATGTTTCGATGCTGTTCTCTTGAAACATCCCACCCTCGCCTTCTCCCACAGAGTCCAAAAGTCTGTTCTATACATCTGTGTGTCTTTTTCTGTTTTGCACATAGGGTTATCGTTACCATCTTTCTAAATTCCAGATATATGTGTTAGTATACTGTAATGGTCTTTAACTTTCTGGCTTACTTCAGTCTGTATAACAGGCTCCACTTTCATCCATCTCATTAGAACTGATTCAAATGAATTCTTTGCAATGACTGAGTAAGATTCCATGGTGTATATGTACCACAGCTTCCTTATCCATTCGTCTGCTGATGGGCATCTAGGTTGCTTCCATGCCCTGCCTGTTATAAATGGTGGTGCGATGAACATTGGGGTGCAGGTGTCTCTTTCAGATCTGGTTTCCTCGGCGTGTATGCCCAGAAGTGGGATTGCTGGGTCATATGGCAGTTCTATTTCCAGATTTTTTTTAAGAAATCTCCACACTGTTTTCCATAGCGGCTGAACTAGTTTGCATTCCCACCAACAGTGTAAGAGGGTTCCCTTTTCTCCACACCCTCTCCAGCATTTATTGTTTGTAGATTTTTGGATAGCAGCCATCCTGACTGGCGTGTAATGGTACCGCATTGTGGTTCTGATTTGCACTTCTCTGATACTGAGTGATGCTGAGCATCTTTTCATGTGTCTTTTAGCCATCTGTATGTCTTCCTTGGAGAAATGTCTGTTTAGTTCTTCGGCCCATTTTTGGATTGGGTCATTTATTTTTCTGGAGTAGAGCTGGAGGGGTTGCTTGTATATTTTTGAGTTTAATCCTTTGTGTGTTGCTTCATTTGCTATTATTTTCTCCCAATCTGAGGGCTGTCTTTTCACCTTGCTTTTAGTTTCCTTTGTTGTGCAAAAGCTTTTCAGTTTCATTAGGTCCCATTTGTATACTTTCGCTATTGTTTCTCATATTCTGGGATGTGGGTCATAGAGGATCCTGCTGTGATTTATGTCAGGGAGTGTTTTGCCTATGTTCTCCTCTAGGAGTTTTATAGTTTCTGGGCTTATGTTTAGATCTTTAATCCGTTTTGAGATTCTTTCTGTGTATGGTGTTAGAAAGTGTTGTAGTTTGATTCTTTTACAGGTGGTTGACCAGTTTTTCCAGCACCGCTTGTTAAAGAGGTTGTCTGTTTTCCATTGTATATCCTTGCGTCCTTTGTCGAAGATAAGGTGACCATAGGTTCGTGGATTTATCTCTGGGCTTTCTATTCTGTTGCATTGATCTATGTTTCTGTCTTTGTGCCAGTAGCATACCGTCTTGATGACTGTGGCTTTGTGGTATAGTCTGAAGTCAGGCAGGTTGATTCCTGCAGTTCCATTCTTCTTTCTGAAGATTACTTTGGCTATTGGAGGTTTTCGTATTTCCATACAAATTGTGGACTTATTTGTTCTAGTTCTGTGAAAACTAGCTTGGTAGCTTGATAGGGATTGCATTGAATCTATAGATTGCTTTGGGTAGTATAGCCATTTTGACAATTTTGAGAATCCCTGTTGTTAAACAACAGAATGCATCAAATCGTTGAGTGCAGCAGCTATGAGGTTACTCTTACAGCTCACAGTAAGGCAGGAAGGATCAAAGTAACTGTTTTTTGTTTGTTTGTTTGTTTTGCAGTTGATGAAAATCCAGTCGATGCTGTCTGAAGTGTACTTAGAACTCTTGAAGGAAGAGTTTTAAGGACTTCAGGAAGGTCCTGTGCTTGGCGGGCGGCTTGGCGAGGATGGGGGCCGCGTTCGCGCGAAGGGGCGGGCTGAAGGCGCTCGGGTGGACCTCGCTGGTGGCTCCCGGTGGGTTTGGGCCCCGCGCAGGTGCCAGGCAGGATAGGCGCTCAGGGCCCCGGCTGCGCTCCGCCTATGCCCGCGGGAGGCTCAGAGGACCGAGGGCCGCGGTCCGCGGCGGGCCCGAATCAGACACCTCCGGGGCCACGTGTCCCTGAGCCACGAACGGGAGTGGGCAGGGGGGGCGCCGACAGGGGCGGGCCTGGAGAGGCCCAGGCCGGGAGGGCGACGAGACCTCCGCGCCCCTCACCCCAACCCCAAGCCCAGGCATGCACACCTGACCGGCCGCTCAGTGTCCCGGAAACACTCTGGACCCCCGTGCCGGGCCAGGTTTTCTGGCCAGGGTTGCCTGTGTGCGGGGACGGGGCAGTTTCGGCCGGGCTGTGGCCGGCGCGCCCCGTGGAAAGCTGGGGCCGGCTGGCTCGACACGGCACATCAGGGCGAAAAGGAGGCACAGCGCAGGGTTTTCAAAGGCCCCTGGCGACAGCCGCCTCCATCTAAGATCATACCACCTTGAAATGGCCAGATGTCTTCTCATCTGGGAAACTATGCAGGGTTAGTTAGTACTTGGATGGGAGACCCCCTGGTAGTTAGGAGCTCCAGGCTTTTGCACAAAGTAGACGGCAAGCCAATGTATAGCTGATGAAAATTTTATGGTGAATAATTCAAATAGACCTGAATTCAAAGATGGTTTATGGCATAAAAGCAAGTGTTTTCCATGAGGTTTCCCCCCACGCCCATTAACTTGCATAAGGTTTCCCTTAGCATTATGCTTATCTTTTATTCCTTCTTTCCTTGTCTGTATCCATCTTTTTGCACCATGATGTGGTGCCCCATTGGCATAATTTTCCACCTTTTGTCTTCCCATAATGCTGCTGTAGGAGACAGATGGACTCCAGGTTAGGCATTGACATCTAGCCTGTTTACATTTCCTGAGGCAAGAGATGGTTGGGCTCCAGTTGAGCCTTTACAGTCAGTGTCCTGCTTGCCCTCTGAAATGGAAGTAACAACAGAAAGAGGGTAAATAGCCAGTGTCTGTCTCTTATGAACACTTTCATAGCCATGGGAAGGGCAAAGAGGGACAAACTCCTGCTTGAGTCAAGGATGAAGAGATCTCCCCTCCCCCCACCCCCCTTTTGGTTCAAGGGAAACACTACACATGTGCAGAGAGGCTCCTTGTGGGTGAAAAGTCCCGCAAAAATGCCAGACCATAATGAGCCTTGCTTCTCCCAGAAGCCTCCACTTGGAGATCCATCTTGGCTGAGGGGTATGTGCACACCAGGGGAGAGTCCCAGGATAGGTCAGATGGGAAGAGAGAAACCAGAAACTTGGCAGGAAGGAAGACAAAGACCCAGAAGAACTGGCCTGTCTAAATGACTTAACTGCCTTGTGGTTATTGTGCTCCTTCTCACTAGGGGGCGCCCATAACCTTTCTCTCCAGGTGTGTCTCTCTGCTTTGCTTCTGTCTTAACGAGACCAGCTGTTTCTCCGTGTGCTTTCCCACATGTTGCTGTGCTGTGTCACTAATAATAAACGTTGTACCTGCATTTACCGATTCTGCCTCCATGATAAATGCATTTGTCACTGGTCAAAGATCCAGGGAAACTTGGCTTCTAGCCTCTAGCCCTTGCTGGTCTGGCAGCTAGGATTCCTGGTTTTGGTTCAGGCTACCCAGGGTCAGTTCCTGGGCAGCGAAGTAGATCTCACTTCAGGCCACCACTCACTGCTGCCTCACTGAGATCAACTCAATGTTTATCACCATTTAATCTACATCATCTACATTGTCGCAACTATTTTGTAACTTTTCGGAAAAGGACTTCTTAGGGATTAACATACTGATATTTCCATAAGGGGGAAATACTTCTTCCCTGAAACTGCGTTGAGAACATTTGATCTTAAGAAAATGTGTGTTAACGTAGCAGAATTATTATTTTATCTTTACAATCTAGCATTTGTTAAATCCTTAACTGCTCATAACTGTTGGGGCTTCCCTGGTGGCTCAGCTGGTGAAGAATCCACCTGCAATGCAGGAGACCTGGGTTCGATCCCTGGGTTGCAAAGACCTCCCTGGAGAAGGGAAACGGCTACCGACTCTAGTATTCTGGCCTGGAGAATTCCATGGACTGTATAGTCCATGCGTTCACAGAGTCAGACATGACTGAGCGACTTTCACTCTTCACCAGCAACAGTTCGGCCTGAAATAAGAACTTTCAAAAATCTTTGAACACAGACGCTCTTATTTTCCCTCTGGGATAAATATTTTGCATTTTCTTTTAGGACATATATACACAATAGGCACAGAACTCTCTTCTTATGTATTTTATTTGCATATAAATTAATATCCTAGAAACTTTAAAATAGAAACACTAAATACAGTGTTGCACAGAGCAAACTCTGTTAAATGCCCCATTATCTCACTGAAGTTCCTATACACATGCAGGGACTGAAGGAGACAGGAAGCTGGCAGAAGAGCAACCTGAGAGCCACTACTGTGTCTGTGCACATCAACTACAGACTGCAAGGTAAGGGCAGTATTTTACATAAATAGAAACATCGTTACAATTCAGGTTTCCTTTCGAAGTTGCCTCCATCATTGGTTTGCAATCACAACAGATTCTCCCCTCTTTTCATGGCCATACCGCAACACATATCATTTTTAAAAATGTATTAATGTTAGACAAAGCCATCACAATGCTTCAGGAGTGACTTCAAGAAAACTCCAATCAAGTCACAGTACTCAGGCAGGTGGGTTTAATAAACAAGTCCTAGGTAGATATCAATCCATCTAAAAGTGGGCAGTAATATCTGAACACATCTAGGATTTCCTTTTAAACACATGCTCCAAGGAAAGCAATACTGAATTTACCAGAGGAACAGTAAAAAGAGGACATCACTGGAAGGGATTTTGCACAGCCAGTCTGGCCCTGCGGTCTCACGCTGGGGTAGCATCTGCTCACTTGGCCCCTGTGTCCCTCAGGGGGGTCACGGGCTCAAGAGTGCAGAGCGAGTATCATCACTAGGACTGCCCAGAGCTGCTGCGAACATCCAAAACGTTTCCCTTGAAGAGTTCTTTAGAGTGCTTCCCTGGCGATCCAGTGGCTGCTCCCAATGCAGGGGCCTGGGTTCAATCTCTGGTCAGTGAACTAGATCCCATCCCCTGCAAGGAAGAGTTTGCACGCCACAATGAAAGATCCCATGTGTGGCAACCAAGACCTAGTGCAGCTTACAGAAAAGAAAAAAGGCACTAAGCGTTCTTTAGAAAGTGCTATACAATGCTATGAATGATTGCTTCTACTCAGCAAATGGTAAGAAAATATGTGTATTAGTTGCTCAGCTGTGTCCGACTCTTTGTGACTCCATGGACTGTGGCCTCCCAAGTTCCTCTGTCCGTTGAATTCCCTAGGCAAGAATAGTGGAAGAGGTTGCCATTCCCTTCTCCAGGCGATCTTCTCAACCCAGGCATGGAACCCAGGTCTCCTGCATTGCAGACAGATTCTCGACCACCTGAGCCACCAGGGAAGCCCAGGAAATACAAAGACTGGAATCCTATTAATCAAGACAGGTGCCATTAGAGAGAAAATAACCTACTAGATTAATTTAGTTTTATTATTGCGATTCTCCTTGGGAATCAAAAATAGGGTACTTCTGGAGAAACTGACAAAGCTGTGATTTATCTTAATAAAAGACTTCTTATGGAGATCTTGAAACCTGTTTCCTGAAAGAAATGAGTTCTAAATATATTTCTTAAGCCTGGTGGCAAAGGTTCTAATGACAGAATTCATCTCCCATGCAGCTCAATGAATCCCTGTTTTTATTATTTTTTTCATTTATTTTTATTAGTTGGAGGTTAATTACTTTACAGTTTTTTTTTGTCACGAATTAGCCATGGATTTACATGTATTCCCCATCCCGATCCCCCCTCCCACCTCCTTCTCGACCCGATCCCTTTGGCTCTTCCCAGTGCACCAGGTCCGAGCACTTGTCTCATGCATCCAACCTGGGCTGGTGATCTGATTCACCCTAGATAATATACATGTTTCGATGCTGTTCTCTTGAAACATCCCACCCTCGCCTTCTCCCACAGAGTCCAAAAGTCTGTTCTATACATCTGTGTGTCTTTTTCTGTTTTGCACATAGGGTTATCGTTACCATCTTTCTAAATTCCATATATATGTGTTAGTATACTGTAATGGTCTTTAACTTTCTGGCTTACTTCAGTCTGTATAACAGGCTCCACTTTCATCCATCTCATTAGAACTGATTCAAATGAATTCTTTGCAATGACTGAGTAAGATTCCATGGTGTATATGTAGCACAGCTTCCTTATCCATTCGTCTGCTGATGGGCATCTAGGTTGCTTCCATGCCCTGCCTGTTATAAATGGTGGTGCGATGAACATTGGGGTGCAGGTGTCTCTTTCAGATCTGGTTTCCTCGGCGTGTATGCCCAGAAGTGGGATTGCTGGGTCATATGGCAGTTCTATTTCCAGATTTTTTTAAGAAATCTCCACACTGTTTTCCATAGCGGCTGAACTAGTTTGCATTCCCACCAACAGTGTAAGAGGGTTCCCTTTTCTCCACACCCTCTCCAGCATTTATTGTTTGTAGATTTTTGGATAGCAGCCATCCTGACTGGCGTGTAATGGTACCGCATTGTGGTTCTGATTTGCACTTCTCTGATACTGAGTGATGCTGAGCATCTTTTCATGTGTCTTTTAGCCATCTGTATGTCTTCCTTGGAGAAATGTCTGTTTAGTTCTTTGGCCCATTTTTGGATTGGGTCATTTATTTTTCTGGAGTAGAGCTGGAGGGGTTGCTTGTATATTTTTGAGTTTAATCCTTTGTGTGTTGCTTCATTTGCTATTATTTTCTCCCAATCTGAGGGCTGTCTTTTCACCTTGCTTTTAGTTTCCTTTGCTGTGCAAAAGCTTTTCAGTTTCATTAGGTCCCATTTGTATACTTTCGCTATTGTTTCTCATATTCTGGGATGTGGGTCATAGAGGATCCTGCTGTGATTTATGTCAGGGAGTGTTTTGCCTATGTTCTCCTCTAGGAGTTTTATAGTTTCTGGGCTTATGTTTAGATCTTTAATCCGCTTTGAGTTTCTTTCTGTGTATGGTGTTAGAAAGTGTTGTAGTTTGATTCTTTTACAGGTGGTT